ATATAAACATTTAACCTAATATCAAAATTCGTAAAGATATACGAGGCAAAATTGAAATTATGCAAAATGTGTTTGCATATATGGAAGATGGCTATTATTCGTTATTGAACGTATTTCACGCGTTGTGCAGTTGATATTCTAACAATCACTGGATTTTAGATAGCCCTACATATTTCACTGAACTGGTTGTAAAATCGCGTAGATCAAATATCTGCACTATTCGACCCAATTGTAGTTTATTTCCATTTGAGACATGATTATCGAGAACTGGATCACACAGCTAGTACGACCGAATATCAATTCTACCCTGTAGCTTAATATTCAGTGTCTGTCGTTGTGGCCGCAGTGACCTTTACTTCTGCATTCGTATAGCTAGGGCTTCGTGATGAATGACACATAAACGAAGATCTTATGGATCTATGTGGATTAGTATGTAGGACATAGTTTCCTAGATCACGACTATAGTGGCATACGCTGCATGCTGTTAGCAGTTTCACGGTGATTCGTTCACGGAGTTTCTGTCACAGCACGGCTTTACAACCGGCAATTACCCCCCCCCCCCAAACGTGCCATTTTCAGAGTCGAAAGTGACAGTATATATATATATATATAATATATATATATATATATATAATAAATATATATATATATAATTAAACTTGAGTTATTCCCACTCGCGTACAGTACGTATTCTCGGCTATATAGATTAACTAGCGGCTGGTCTTCGAGGAGTGGCTGAGAGTGAATTCGGATTTGGACTGACTCCATTCAGTATCCTACAGGGCATTGTGCTGATTAAATGCATTTCATTGAGCGCATTAATGTCTGCGACGCCTGCTTCGCCGAGTCTTGATCACCTCCCGTCGGGCACCCGGCGACAATGCCGCCACTAATTGCGCGTACCCTACTTGCCTTCGCGGCATTCTAACTAGATTAAATGCACATCGAAGTTGTCAGATCTGTGTATGTAGTCGTCGTCTCGCTGCCTCCGCTCGTGCATAAGTTGGTCCGACGGCCCCCTCGCCGCCATTTCTAGTGATGAGCACAGGCATGCAGGGATCTTCAGTTTGGCCTTATCCCGATTTGCCTGCCTCGATCTTTTCCCTTCCTGGCCGGTTATGCTTCTCTCTCCTGGTCGACTTTCTCATTGTCAATCCTTACCAAAGTAATCCCCGTTTTCTATGTTCATCTCTCCTTGAAATTTTCCCCTCTCCATTTTCTCGTGAGAGGCTTTCGTACTGACTTTCATCTCCAATGCGGATCCAGCCCTGATTATCGTTTTTTTTCTGCTCGAGTGCTCCCGACTTATTATTCTGCTGTGTATGAGCTCAACCCTAGCTACATGGCATGGTCCACTTCGGTTTTCACCCAGCCTCCCATCTTCACCTGTTCAACGCCCTCATGGAGAGTTTCAGTTTATTAAATTAATTTGTTTGTATCGTCCCTATATTTTGTTTCTTCTCTTAATTCTCTTCCCTCTTTATTTCTTATGGTCAAGCTATTGTACTATACTTTCCAGCTTTTGCTTCCCCTTTCGATATATTGCAAAATCTATACTGGTACAGTGGTCATGGCCATGGCCACAATACAACATGGCCATGGATTTGGTGCTGAACTCGCAATCATGCATATATGTATATAGTCGCTTTCTTCAACCCATATTTTTTCAAGGTAGCTACTAGCTATAATAGTCCGCAGTCTTAGTTTAGATTAGTGTGTTTTAATTATAGTGAATCGGTTTGTCTCGTACGATTTTTTTAGAATGCTTAATGGAGTTGTTGTTATTGGCTTTTCTGTAGTCGACACACCGATGGATGTTTTAATGACATTTAGTTTCTAATCGTTCACTATGAATTACCACAGTGAGACTGTTGACATCATACCCGTGACTACATGATCGCCACAATAATCCCAAGTATATATATTGCTCGCTTACTCAGAAATCTTTAATTGGTGACATTTGCGTGTATTACTATTATATTGCAACCAATCATCGGCTATTACTGCCGGGCTGAGATGCAAAATACTCGTGATTAAATTTCTAAGCTGTAATCAAAATCGGATTGCTTAATTTACCCGGTCAACCGAATTGCTAATGCAAGGATTTTTTCGCGTGCGCTTCACACTACGCCGTCGCCGGATGCGCCAGGGCTTCTGACAACTGCAATATCAGCACCATGTTTCAATGAGATGACGATCAGTAGTCCGTTAGAACTCACTAAGCCGATCCGTCCGTGTGTATAGCTCATCCTCATGAATATATCTCGACGCGTCCGGTTTATGCCTTTCAATGTTGAATATCTATCGTCTGATATTTTTTAATGCGGTATTTTTGACGAGTAGTATCAGCGATGGCCAGCGTTGGGCAGCGCATCTGTTAGATGGGAGCAAGAGCATTAATTGCACTCGAATCGAACCGGAGGCGACGACGGTGGTAATGACACACGTTGAGAACGGATCGAACTTCGTGTGGATTTAGACAAAATTAAAGTTCGAATGTCGAAAAGCAGCAGTAGTTGGCCATAAAACAGGGGATCGACACACCATGCGAATTTCACTGCGATTTTAACAATCGCTGCGGACGTGCGAGTAAATTCGCATGGTCCTCCGCTTAAGTGCAGCTAATATTAAAAATGTTTCGTCGCGTATCTTACGTCGTTTGTGCATTTAGCTATTAGCAGTTACAATGAAGCATGTACAATAGTGTCATTGTCCTTCTGCATATATTGCCCCTGTAAATTAAATTCATGTATTATTTCTGGGGAATTTCCTCGGAATATTTCATTGGGTATAGCAGATATTTTTCCATCACTATTCGCAGTTCTCATGCGCATTCGCATACGAAAGCATGTAAACGCTCACACGCACGCACAAGTCACACAACAGGCATGCATGCTAGCACACGAGCACACACTCACACCGACACACCCACACGTCTGCTCGTCTATACCCGCCTGCCCACACGCACACACGCACGCACGCACGCACGCACGCACGCACGCACAAGTCACACAACAGGCATGCATGCACCCTAGCACACGAGCACCCACTCACACCGACACACCCACACGTCTGCTCGTCCACCCGCCTAGCTGTCCACACGCACGCACGCACGCACACACGCAGCACGTACGCACGCAAGCACACACACACGCACTCGCAAACATACAAGACACGCATCGTGTATACGTATCTTAGGAACATGAAAGGCGTATTACCACATGACGATGAGATCATTTCTTCTGCAAGGATTAGCCGTGATCGCACGCA